ATTTCTACTGCAGTGTCTGGCAATAGCTTGATAGAGCTGAGACTTTACCCCCTGCACCATCAGGGAGGCCCCAAAATAAAGTTTTTTATGGTCCTTGAATATCTCACATTTAATAACTCGATTTAGTAAATGGTGTTTAATCTTAGAGAAGAAATGATGTCAGAGGACAGAAGTGAAAGGGAAGAGGTTCCTGGAAGAAAGGTAGGGTATGGCCAGGATGGGCTGCCTGAAGGTTTCCCAGGTGAGAGCATCAGCAAGACCAAGGCGGAGATGTCTGTCTGCCAGAAATAGTTCTTAGTGGTGATTGGGAGATCAATAGGAACCTGGATCATTACGTTGGGGAAAAAAAACACAAGAGACCTTGAATGCCAGCATATTGGATATTGATGTTAAGCTCCCAATTTCCTTTCCCCAGTGAGTAGCAACAAATCTTTTTGGGAGCTAATTCTCAGCTTATGGGGTGTGCCTTGGCATTAGGATTATCTCCACCCACTTGGTGGTGATGGGTTCAAGAATTAGTATGTGAGCTGGAGAAATTGAGATAGTGCTTTTATTATTCACAATATGTATAGCTCCTCCTGGGGGGCCCCACTGTTTTTAGGTGTGATCACGAGGCTCAATTTTACCAATGGAAGTGAACCCAGGTGTGCTTCTGGCAATGTCACGACAAGGGCTGTTCCTTCAGTTTTGATGCTGGAATGAAGATGATTTGCAGGCAAAACTGCAGCCAATCCATAATGGATCCAATGTAATGAGCAAGAAACAAACCCTTGTAAATCACACCAAATTTAGACTAATAAAGAGATAAAAGAAAAGATCTGCTAGATGTCTTTTGGAAAGTTTCTCTTGACCCTTAAAAAAAAAGCCACAAAGAGTAAATCTCCCATTCGGGGAAGGTCTGGAGGGGATGCTTAACCCCTGATTCTACCACTCAGCAACCTAATTCCCAAGGCAGACTAGGCTCTGCATGAAGCTAAAGTTGGAGAGACAGAAGGAGCCCTCTAGATCTTAATGTCCTGAGCCATCCTGAACTCCAGATTTTCTTTTTCAAACTATTACAAATTGGGTTTTGCTTGTAGTTGAACATATCCTGATTCACAAAACTAAAGAGTGAGCGTGGATCTTGGGGTTTGGGACTATTGGAAGATTTTGACTAGGCAGTGATGAGATAAAGCCAATGTATTAAAATGAATCATGTAGCATCTGTGAACAAATGTTCAAAATAGATTGAAAGAGAGAAGAAGGAAGCAAGAGAACCAGGTCCAGGAAAATGACAATAATCCACAGATAGTAAATAGGAAATTAGTAAGCAAGTGAGGGAGGAGTGAGAAGCATTTTGAAGAAATGACAAGAATCAGGATCTGATGAAGAAGCAGGCATCAAATTCAACATTTGCAGAACTGTGAGAACGCTGGGGTCTTTGTTGAATAGGGAAGAAGAGAGGAGAAATCAACTAGGGATATAGATGATGATGGTTTGGTTTGGACATAATAACTTTGGGATGGAAGCAAGAAAATAATGCAATTAAAAACACTTGTGGGGAGTCAACTTTGTGCCAGGTGCTAAACATATTAAGCAAAAGAAAACCTAGTTCATTTTCTGACCACCTCCTCCCCCCACCCCCAAAAGAGAGGCAGTGGCAAACAAATGAATTGCAGTACAATGATAAAAAGTGCACGGTTTAGAGGTAGCAGAGAGATGGGAGATGTAAGATGTAGGTGAGGTTGTTAGGGGGAAATGATGTCCTGAGCTAATCCCATACAGGCTTTGTGGACCCCACCCCCACTCCAGACTAAAGCCATCAAGACTCTGGGAAAGACAAATCCCATCACCACCAAGGGAGGGTGGCTGGGACCTGAGGGTGGAGTTGGGCAGCCAGGTTGGATATAAAAAACCAAACACGTGGGCCTTGGGCTCTCTCTCTCTCTGGCTCGCGATCGCTCGCCTCCTGGCTTCACCGCTCCTGGCTGGCGGCGAACTCTGAGAGCGCCATTTTGGGATTCCTGATCGGCGGATTGGGTAGGACTCATTTAAAACTTTGTCTCCCACTTTTCTCCCAGAGCTGTACATTTCCTCATTTCCCTTTCCCTTGTAAATAAACCTTTTATTAACCTTTCACGTGTGCCTGCAGTAGAGCATTGATAAGTCCTTTTAAGCGCGCGGGTGAGGACCCACAGTCAGGCACCCCGTTTTGTATCGGGGTTGCTCTACAACAAGGTGAGAATTTATGAGATCAGAACTGTCAAAACAGAACATTTGTAAGGAGGTGATAGACAAAGACATACAGGGGTTGAAACTTCAAGAGTGCCAAGATACAGAGGGAACTGGACACAGCAAAAGTGAAGGCAGATTTGGGTTAGTCACCACTTTCACCCACTTACTGGTTTCATGTCTTTGGGGTAGTTATTTTGTGGGTCTCCTACTCCTAAGCGGCCTGTTTGGCCACCATTTTGTTAAATCCTAAACAAGATCAAATAACCCTCTCAGTTAGGTACAGAGACCAAACCTGCAAGGTGCCCTTCAAATCAAACAAGAGCACAAAGCTAGATCATGCTGGGAAGGCTATGCATCATGAGGTATGACCAGGAACACCTGGGGGGCTGAGGACTGATGTATAACAAAGGACCCCAGAAGCTGATCAATGGAAGCCTTGTTGATAGGATTAAAACCATGGCTGGGGAACTAGGGCATGATCTCAATGACAATACCAAGTCATTAAATAGATAAGAAGTGCCTATAGGGCAGACTCACAATCCCTGGTCTTCTACATTCTTCCCCTTTCTTTAATCTCCTTCCCATTCCTTTTTCTCTATCCCCTTATGCTGTATATCAATAAAAAGGCCAGAATCTTGCTCTTCAGCAGCATCCTGCATTATGTAGCCTGCTTTAGGATTTCCATTTCTTTATCAGTGTGATGTTGCCCGGTGCAACTTATTTGACCATGGGAAGCTTTAATTTCCTTCTCCATAAAGGGAGTTACAAGAGAAGTTACTGCCTTACTTTGTCAGGAAAATTAAAGATATGTCTCATGTGAAATACTTCATACTCTAGCAAATAGATATTGATATTTATGTTCAGGAAATATTACCCTTATTTTCTTCACCATCAGTATTACTATTAGTAATTATTATTCCATCCTCAACACAACCATTCATTTACTCATGAGTCTGCAGTTTGTTTAGGGATGGTAGACATTTCTGTTTGATGAGCTGGCAGCTGCAGTGACTGAAGGGGTTGGGGGGTCTACACCCAAGGTAACTCACTTCCAAATTGGCCAATGGTGCTTTATTTGGCAGCGTGCTCAGCTGGGGCCTCAGTGCCTCTCTCCATGGAACCCTCCAGGAAGGAGCTACTTTTTCTTCCTCACAGGATGATGGTTGAGTACTCTGGAGACAGGAGGTGGAAACTGCCAAATTCTTAAGCTCATGACCCAGAAACTAGCCCAGCATTTCTTCTGCTTTATTCTATTGGTCAAGGAATCAAGAGCCTATTCATATGGCCAGCTTTCAATTACCATATAATGGGATAAAAAGAACAACTTAGAGAATCCTGTTATCAGAAAGCAGAGTCTTTTTTTTTTTTTTTTTTTTTTTTAAAAATTTTTTTTTTTTTTAGAGGCATGTTTTATTTATTTGTTTGCTGGTTTGTTTGTTTGTTTTGTTTATACATGCACTGGGTACAGTCAGAAGCGCGGAGGGTGAGAGAATTCACCAGAGCCAGAGCAGGGAGCAGAGCAGGCAGAAGGACCGAAGTACACTGCTGAGGGGAGCAGCGGGCGGCAGGAGAGGTCTGCGCGCCATGTGGGACCCTCCTCCGGTGGCCGGGGAGCAGCCGGGGATCGAACCGGCGCCGCAGAGGCCGCGGGCAGCCTCGCAACCCAGCTCTCAACCGCTGCCCCACCGGGGAGGCCAGAAAGCAGAGTCTTGAAGACACAGACCTCTGGAAAAATGTTTGTGGATTAAAAGCAAAGTTGGGCCTCCCTGATGGCGCAGGCGGTTGAGCACTGCACTGTGAAGCTGTCCGCAGCCTCTGCAGTGCGGGTTTGATCCTGGCCTGCCAGCGAGAATCCCACGTGGTGCAGCAGACCTCTTCTGTCTCAAACCACTGCTCCCCTCAGCAGTGTATTTCAGTCGATCTGCCTGTTCTGTTCCCTGCTCTGTCTCTGGTGAATCCTCTCACCCTCCTGCGCATCTGGCCTATACCCCGGTTCTTGTATAAATAAATAAAAATCTTTTTTAAAAAAGCAAAGTTTTTGTGATACACATTTGAAAGGACCTCTACTAAAATATTCTATTAATAAAACTCAAATTCAATTACAAATTGAAATAGATTACGGTCTTTTAAATTTGGAATAAAAGCTAAGAGTTCTGATGGAAAACTCCAAATTATAGAAGTGAATGTTAGATCTGAAAGGACCTTCCAGACCCTCGACAACCGCCCTTTGTGTATGTGTGGTTGTGGAACACGCTTGGGAAAAACATGAGTCTGAGACCCTGCAGCCAAGTATGAACAGCATTCAGTTGGGCATTGGGGGAGACTCAGACACGTAGCTGTGTCAACAGTATAACGTCACTCTCAGGTTATCCTCTCACGCTTGTTTGGGAGTGAGGGGGAATAGGTGAAAAGTGTAACCTCAAATGAAGACATCAACTGCAGTTTAATTCATCCACACATATTAGCCTGAAATGTCACCTCCTTTATTCCTCAGCAAATACTCCTCTGTGTGAAACACAATATTTCCAAATGCCTTTTTGATCTGATGTAAAGCAGCACTTTTTAAGTTGGTTTGTCACATTCCCAGGATTTTACATCCAGATGATAAATAATTCTGTCCTGTAGCACAGATCTGACTTTCCAGCCTAGAGAGAAAGTTGGGACTATCAATCTAGAGAGTACTGACAAGGCGTGGGGAGATCAAGATTCTGATCCCACGGCAGCCCAACTTAATAGGGCTTTATGATGTACTTGCTTTAACTCTGAGCTTTTGTGCTTACATCAGCAAGTCGAATAGTTTTCTGTAAATGTGCTCTAAGTTTCTTCCCAACTTTCTGTGTCAAGGATTTCATGATGGAGGTTGCTGGGAGAATGTGAAGAATCCCGAGAGACCCATAGTCACAAGGTGAGAAGGCGCTCATCTTTATGGGAACACAATCAGCCACAAGTCCCTGAATTTCATAAAGGCTTACTGAGGACCGTGTGTGAGAAATAAATCCCTTGATTGTAACGGCGCTGTAACAAATTCTAATATATCAAGATTCACATAATGAAAGGCATCTGAGCATCTCCTTAGGCAGTTCAGGGACTTTGTTGCTTATTTTTCAAATAATGTTGTGCTGCTGACTCATGTTTGCCTTGTGCCCTTTTGTGACCCCTCAATATTCAGGGCCCTCATCTCGCTCCTCATTATTATTAATAATCAGTGCCTATGAAATTATACTACACCCTGGCTTGTTATCAAGTCCTGGAAGTATGCAAATAGATTAATCAACCTGCTCCCATGCTTAAAACCTTGAATGGAACTTTATTTAAGTATGGTGGAAGTATTTGCCCTGGCTCGCAGTTGTCTCCTCCAATCAAGCCTGAGGTGTGTTTTCCTCCTAACTTTTAATTGCATGACCTCTGAGAACCTAATTTCCAGAAAACCCATTTATTATTTTAATGCTCATTTGGCATTATTATTTTCCCAAAGCAATCTTTTTGTCTCTGAATCTCTTAGGAGAGTTAGAAGCAAGCCAAGAAAAGCTTCATTTTCTCCTCCTGGCCCTCAAAGGAAGCAGAAATGAAACATTAAAAATCTTAGTTTCTAGCTGGGGATGGGAGGAGGGAGCAAGCAAGGAAGGTGGGGGTGTGGGGGGGGGAGGCTGGAAGCACTTGCGTTGGTCCCAGATGGAAAGCAATCCAGCAAATTGCCTTTAAACAGCAGTGTCCCTGCAAATAGGGCACTCTAGCTGTTTCGTGTCACTTGAAAGCATCTTGTTGATATTTTTATAGATTTTATGATACATTCTACAGCATGCCTCAGGAACAGCTACTTGGTTTCTGGCAGTAATGAACATTGTTATACTCGCAGCCTGAGTAGTCTTTACTTCAAAGGGAGGCGTTGATCTGATCTTTCATCTACTCAGCTGTTGCTTACCAGTTTCCTTCAGATACTGTTTGAACTAAAAACCCCACATTTCCTGGTTTGAGTGAACAATTCCCCCGACACTTCTAATCCTCTCACTTGGAAGCTACTAAACTGTGATTGAATGATGCCATTAACAAGAAGGAGGTAAATACATTTAAACATGCAGTCTTAGACTTTGCTCAAATAATAAATGGCTTGTATGCTCAGAACTCTTCTCTGTTTACCAAAACAAAGGGTTTGGGGAAGGGTGAATGAAGAAAATATGTAAATGGATAAATGAAAAACTGAATTTCACATTCAAAACATTATATATATATGTCTCATGCTATGTATGCTTTTGTTTTATAAATTTATAAAATAGCTTAAACATATTTTGGAGGACTTAAAATTTAGCATCATATTGTTGCATAGTGCAGTATTTTTTTATGGTATGTAATGTTAATTTAATAATTACGTGAATATACTGAGTTTATGCATCTATTCTTCTGTTGATGGGTTTTTTGGATTACTTAGGCTTTTGCTATTGTGAACAGTGCTCCTGTGAATATTCTTATACATATTTCTTATTGCAAATGTGCAACATTTGTTGAGTATATACAAGAGAATAGAACTATTGGTCCTGTGATATTAAGAGATAATGACAAACTATTTTTCAAAGTGTTTTTATCAGTTTATTTCCACAAACAGTGTAAAGGAGAGCCTATGAATTTACAGCCTTTCCAGCACTTGATTTTATCATTTTTTTTAACCACTTACATTGGTGTAAAATGGTATCACCTGTGGCCTTGATTCATATTTCCAAGATTGTTATTTGTGTTGAACAATTAACTTCAGATGCTTATTTGTTAGGTTCGCTTTTATCAAATGTCTGTTCATATCTTTGGCCCATTTTTTTACTGGATTATTTCTGCTTTTCTTACTGATTTACAGGAATGCTTCATATGGTCTTGACATGAATTCTTTGTTGTGAACATCATATCACCTTTTGCCAGTTTCCAACCTGTCATTTCACTTTCCTTATGCATTTTCAGATAAAAGTTATTAATTTAGTATGGTTATACTGATCAGTCTTTTCCATCATAGTTCTTTTTGATGCATTATCTAAAAATATATTTTCACTTCAACATTTTAAAGGTTCTCTCCTTTATCGTTCCACTAAGAATTTTACAGTTTTGTTTTGCATTTAAGCCTTTGAGTCATCTGGAGTTGATATTTGTTCAAGAAGCGAGGTAGGGTTTCTTTTAGATCTTTTTCCATGTAGATAACCTTTATTTCTAGCTACATTTATTGAATGATCCTTAGTCTTCATTGATCAGATATTATACCTTTGTCCTAAAATTCCATATATTCATGGATCTATTTCTAGTCATTCTAGTTTATGCCATTAATCAATTTCTCTATCTCTGCACCAATACACACTGTTTTAAGTGCTATGGTTTCTTCATAAGTCCTGATATCTAAGTAGGACAGGGCCTACTCCTTACAATATCTTATTTTAAAATGTCCTGGCTATTTGTGGCCTTCTGTATTTTATTATATATTTACTGATATTATTAGATTCTACTGATATTATGCATTTTCAGATTAATATCTACTGATATTAATAGATTCTAATAATAGAATCTATTATTAGATTCCAAATCCTGCTGGCATTTTATAAGAAGTTGCATTGAACTTATAGTTCAACTTTGAATCAATCATTTTTACACAATTTTCCTATCTAAGAACAAGCACTGTTTCCCCATTTAAGTTTTTTATAATGTTCCTCATCTTGCATTTTTGTTATTATTATATCTTGATTCTCAATATTCTCCACACTACTGTAAATGCTGCTTTCTCCTTATTTATATTTTCTAGTTGTATGCTACTATTGTCAAGAAATGCATCTAAAGTCAGAACAGGGGGGAAGCAGATATTGTTTAAAAATGATCAATGATGTAAAAAGAAATAGCATTAAAAATAAATTAAAAAAAAACAAAGTCAGAACATATGTATATAAACACAACCAAAAATGTTTCCCAACCAATTTTAAGGTCTTTTGTTATTTTAAATGTTATGTAGGGCCTCCCCGGTGGCGCAGCGGTTGAGTGCTGGGTTGCGAAGCTGCCTGCAACCTCTGCAGCCGGTTCAATCCCCGGCTGCTCCCCGGCCACCGGAGGAGGGTCCCACATGGCGCGCAGACCTCTCCTGCCGCCCGCTGCTCCCCTCAGCAGTGTACTTCGGTCCTTCTGCCTGCTCTGCTCCCCGCTCTGGCTCTGGTGAATTCTCTCACCCTCCCGCGCTTCTGACTGTACCCAGTGCATGTATAAACCAAACAAACAAACAAATAATAAATAAATAAATAAGACATGCCTCTAGAAAATTAAAAAAAAAAAATGTTATGTAAATTGTGTTGAATTTTCTTTGTAAATGGGCATATAAGCTGTAAATGATGACAATTTTATTTCTTTTTTTCTAATCTTATCACTCTAATTTCTTTTTCCTGTCTTAGTACACTGGATAAGATCACCTATTTAATATTGCATTGAAGTGATATAAAATTGCTCCTGATTTTAAAGAAAATGATTCTTGTGTTTCCAAGTTAAGAATGATGTTTGCTCAGGGAAATACAAAAAATATTTTTCTGTATCAGTTGACTGTATTTCTAATTTGTTATGAGTTTTTGTGATGTGTTGGTATTGAATTTGATCAAATGTTTTTCAGCATTTATCATATAGTTTTGTTTTTTAATTTGCTAATGTGGTGAATTCAAGTTAAGGATTTTCTATTATTAAAATCATCCTTTGGTGGGATAAATCCTAATTGTTTATGCTGTATAATCCTCTATGTATACTGTTAATTCAGTTTGCAAATATCTTGCTTAGGGTTTTTACACCTGTATTATTGAGTGAAATAGACTAGTAATATTCCTTTTACAGAACGTCTTTATCTGATTTTGATTTTGATTTTGTTTTTATAGAAGAGTATAAGAATGTTTCTCTGATTGTCCTTTCACTGTTAGATTGAATTTGTGTACAGTTGGGATGATCATGTCCTTGAAAGTTTTGTAGAAATTTCCTGTGAAATCACATGCTCCTACTGCTTTTCTTGTGAGATATATTTTTTACTATTATGTAAATTTCTTCAATAAGTGTACAATTTTTATGATTTTTACTTTTTTCTTGAGTTAACTCTAGTAAATTAGATTTTTTTAATGTATTTGATCATTTTATGTAAATTTCAAAATGCTGGCACATAGTCACATAGCTTGTTTGATATAAATGTGGTTATATACTCTTTTGCAAATGATAACTTTATTTTTAGTCTCTTATAGTATCCTTAAAAGTTTTTCTGAAGAGTTGTCTAGTTTTTGGTCTTTTTTCAGTTTTAAAGGATTTTGGCTTTGTTGACTCTGATATTTTTGTGATTGTCTATTTTGTTCATTTGGACTCTGACTTGATCACTTTCTAATTTCTTTGGGTTTATTATTTTGTTTATCTATATAAATTTTAAGATGAATAGTTAGGTTGCTACATTTAAAACTTTCTTCATTTCCATGGAAACTATTTAAGGTTATACAATTCTCTTGAAGCTGTATAACACCTCTTCAAGGTCAGGTAAAATTTTTCTTCCTTTTTGAAACTTTACTTCCCTCCCCATCCTAGTCCATAGACACAGGTTCAGTTTTGCAGCTCAGTTTTTCAGTTTTGCAGCTTATTAGGTAGAATAAGCAAGGGCTTTTAAGTCAGAAATACCCAGGTAAAATCCCAAACCTGCCTATTAATAGTTCTTTTTACTGTAAACATATAATGTGTCATTTTTCATCTTAAAAATGAAAGAGACAAAGCTAATTCTTCATGCTTTTGTGAAATGTAAATGTGAATTAAACTATGGGAAGCTATCTGGTATCATCAACTCCTGGCATATAATAAATTAGTCAGGCCTTCCCTGCACCCCCTCCTTTACCTTCCTTGTGAGGTTAATAAGATTCCAAAGTTAGTTTTTTCTCTGGG